AATTGGTTCTTTTTATCCAAGTTATCAAATTTGTGGGCATAGAGTTTTTCATAACATTGCTTTATCATCCTTTTGATGTTCATCGGTTCTGTAGTGATGTCTTCATTTTCATTCTCATGTTAGTAATATGAGAAATTTGATTTTTTTTCTTAACCTAGCTAGAGACTTACTGATTTTATTGATCTTTTCAAACCATCACACTTAATGGTGAGAAACTAGAAGCTTTCCCACTAAGATCAGTAAAAAGGCAATCATGTCCTCTCTGATCACTCCTTTCCAATATCATACCGGAAGTCCTAGCTAATATAATAAGAGAAGAAAATGAAACAAAAGCTATACACTTTGGGAAGGAGGAAATTTTTATTTGCAGATGACAGGATTGTCTATGTAGAAAATTCCAGAGTCAACAACTACAACAAAACCTCCTGGAACTGGGCAGCCCAGGTGGCCCAGCAGTTTGGTGCCGCCTTCGGCCTACGGCGTGATCCTGGAGACCCAGGATCAAGTCCTACATCAGGCTCCCTGCATGGAGCTTGCTTCTCCCTCTGCCTGTGTCTCTGCCTCTCTCTGTATGTATCTTTCATGAATAAATAAATAAGATATTTTTTAAAAAACCCTCCTGGAACTAATATAACAATAGTAGCAAGGTTGCATGATACAAGGTTAATATACCAAAGTCAATCACTTTCCAATATATCAACAGTGAACACATGGAATTTGGTATTAAAAACAGGGGCACCTGGGTGGCTCTGTCAGTTAAGTGTTGGCCTTTGGCTCAGGTCAAGATCCCAGGGTCTTGGATCGAGGCCCACATTGGGTTCCCTGCTCAGTGAGGAGTCAGCTTCTCCCTCTTCCTCTGACCTTCACCCCTGCTCATGCTCTCTTTTTCTCTTTCTCTCAAATGAATAAATGAAAACCTTTTTTAAAAAACTTGAAATCAAAAACAATATTATATGCATTAGCACCCAAAAAATTTAGGTATAATTTAACAAAATATATACGTTAGATATAAGGAAAACTAAAACTCTGTTGAAACAAAGAAGAACTAATTAAAGGGAAAGGTATCTCATGCTCATAGACTCATATTGTCAAAATATCAGTTCTTCCTTAATTGATCTATAGATTCAATGCAATCCAAACCAAAATCCTAGCAAGTTATTTTGTAGATATCAACAAACTGTTTCTAAAGTTTATATGAAGAGGTAAAAGACCCAGAATAAAGTGAACAATATTGAAGGAGAAAAGCAAAGTCAGAGGACTGACACTATCTGACTTAAAGACTTACTATAAAGCTACAGTAATCAAGACAGTGTGACACTGGTGAAAGAATAAGCAAAAAGATCAATAGCACAGAATAGAGTGCCTGGAAGTAGACCCCCATAGATACAGTCAATCCATCTTTCACAAAGGATCAAAGGCAATACAATGTGAGCAAAGATAGTCTCAATAAATGGTGCTAGAAAAACTGAACATCCATATGCAAAAAAAAAAAAAATCTAAACACAGACTTTCCAGCCTTAACAAAAACTAACTGAAAATGGAGTAGAGATCTAACTGTAAAGTTCAAAACTATGAAACTCCTAGAAGAGGACATAGGAGAAAATCTAGATGACCTTGGATGTGGCAATGACTTTTTAGATACAACCCCAAGGGCGTAATCCATGACAGAAATAATCGATAAGCTGGACTTGCAAAATATTTTAACTTTTGTTCTGTGAAAGACACTGTCAATAAAGTGAAAAGACAAGCCACAGGCTAGGAGAAAATGTTCGCAAAAGATACATCTGATAAAGGACTTTTATCTAAAATACACAAAGAATCACTAAAACTCAATAATTAAAAAAATGAAAAATCCAATTTAAAAGTGAGCAAAAGACCTGAACAGACACCATGCAAAGATAGAGAGATGGCAAATAAGCATATGAAAAGATGCTTCAGGGATCCCTGGGTGGCGCAGCGGTTTGGTGCCTGCCTTTGGCTCAGGGCGCGATCCTGGAGACCCGGGATCGAATCCCATATCGGGCTCCCGGTGCATGGAGCCTGCTTCTCCCTCTGCCTGTGTCTCTGCCTCTCTCTCTCTCTCTCTCTCTCTCTCTTCTCTCTCTCTCTGTGTGACTATCATAAATAAATAAATTAAAAAAAAAAGATGCTTCACATCAAATGTCACTAGAGAATTGCAAATTAAAACAACAGTGAGATGCTACTCTATACCTACTAGAATAGCTGAAATCCTAAACACTGACAACAACAAAAGCTGACAAAAATGCAGAGCAACAGGAACTCATTCATTGCTGGTGGGAATGCAAAATGATACAGCCACTTTGGAAAACAGTAGGGCAGTTTCTTTTTTTTTTAATTTATTTATTCATGAGAGACAGAGAGAGAAAGAGAGAGAGAGGCAGAGACACAGGCAGGTTCCATGTAGGGAGCCCGACATGGGACTCGATCCCGGGTCTCCAGCATCATGCCCTAGGCTGATGGCAGCACTAAACCACTGAGCCACCCAGGCTGAGTAGGGCAGTTTCTTACACAAATAAACATACCCTTACCATCCAATCCAGCAACTGTACTCCGTGGTATCTATTCAAAGGAGTTTTAAATTCCTGTCCACACAAAAACCTGCACACAGATGTTTGCAGCATCTTTATTCATAATTGTACAACTCAGAAACAACTAAGATGTCCTTCAGTGGACAAACTCTGGTACATTCTAGGCAATGGATTATTCAGTGCTAAAAATAAATGAGTGATCAAGCCATGAGGAGACATGGAGAAACCTTAAATGCATAAGAGTACTAAGTGAAAGAGGTCAATCTGGAAAAGCTGCATATTGTATCATTCCAATTATATAACATTCTGGATAAGACAAAACTATGGAGATGGTAAAGGGATCAGTGGTTGTCAGGGGTTAGACGGGAGGGAGGGATGAAAACAAAGGGCACCAAGGATTTTCAGGGCTATGAGACTACTTTGTGACATTAAAGTGGCGGACACGTGTCATTATATATCTGTCAAAACCCACAGACTGTACGACAAACACCAAGAGTAAATTCTAACGTAAATGATGGACTCGAGGTGATAATGATGTGCTGATGTAGGTTCATCAGTTACTACAAACACACTGCCCTGGTGGGGATGTTGCTCGTGCGGGTAGCTGTGCATGTCAGGGTCAGGGAGTACATGGGAAATCTCTACACTCTCCTCCCCATTTCTCTGTAAACCTAGAAGTGTTTAAAACTCTAAAAATAAAGTCTGTATTTTTAAGTAAAAAAAAAAAAAAAGGGAATGACTAAACCAAAACTCAGGAGAGGGTGACAGAAAGTAATGGGTTACAGAAATAAACAAAGGGCTTCTAGGAATCTGGTTACTTCTTAAACTGAGTGACAGATCCCCAAATGGATCATTAATGACTTTTCTGAGTCACTGAATTTACTACCACTGGTGCTGACCTTAGAGATAACGGTTTTTCTGTATCGTTTGAACTGCATTTTGAGTTGTGCTTTCTGTTACTTATAGTTAAAATCACATGAACTGATAGTTTAATTTGGGTGCAGTACAACAGGGATCTGATTTAGCATGTCATCGTTTCCTCCTATTCTGTTTGTCTAAGCATTTCATTAAAACCTTGTATTAGTTACCCTCAACTATTAAAAAAAAAAAAAAGGACTTGTTTGGGGGGGGGGGAAGAGACTAATTAAAACAGCTTAGTATTTTTCCAATCCTAAAAGGTATCTTCCTTGAAAACATTCTGATTAAGCATGTGTGATATCAAGGACAATCAAGACTTGAAAAAAAAATCTATAAATCACCAAACAGATAAGGAGTCAGGCTTGTACTCTTGCCCTCCATAGGGAGCAGCTTAATCTGACTGGAAGATCACACATTTCCCACTGGAGCTACAGGCTGGAGGTCAGACCACAAGGCTGAACTCAGCTACCACGGGAGTTCTTAAAAGGAGAGCAAACAAGGAAATAGGAGATTTTTGTCCAGAAAGGGGCACGGTCTCTGCTGTTTTGGCCAGAGAAATAAAGAGCAGTGGTTTCTCCACAGACCAGTCCTATACTGGAGACTGTGTCCTGCTTAGGAGATTACTCCCATCCCACCTTCTTGCAGATATAAAGAAATGCGCAGACCAAAAAAGGGGGCGGGGCAACAGAGGGATATACACTAGGACACACCGTTTATTCTATCTACCAGACACTATGAGCTAAGCCCTTCCCCTGCATGATTCCATTTAGCCCTCAAAACAACCCTGCAAAATCAAGGCTGTTCCCCTCACAGGATAAAGATGCAGAGAGGTTTAGTAACCCAGCAAAGGCAGCCCACTAGTGGTAGGTGGAGCTGAGACTCAAGCCCAGGTCTGTCCCGCCCTAAAGCTCATATTCTCTTCTTTAGTATCATGCAGGAGAACCACAATGAATACCACAGCCCAACTCAGTCCTGGAGCATCGCCTCTTTGCAGGGACTCAAAGGCTGTCCCCTACATCTCTTGCCCTCTGCTGTCAACTACAGTGCTGGCCACACCATAAAGATGCAGACCCCAGTAAGCTTAGTAGGATTCCATTATGAAAAGGGATTCCTACCACCCTTAGCTCCCAGACCACAAAGCCTGGCCCTCACATCCATCATCCACCGCACACATGCATCAGTTTGGCCACAGAGGAACAAGGTCAGTTTAAAAAAAAAAAAAAAAAAGGGATCCCCGGGTGGCGCAGCGGTTTGGCGCCTGCCTTTGGCCCAGGGCGCGATCCTGGAGACCCGGGATCAAATCCCACGTCGGGCTCCTGGTGCATGGAGCCTGCTTCACCCTCTGCCTGTGTCTCTGCCTCTCTCTCTCTCTCACTATGTGCCTATCATAAATTTAAAAAAAAATTAAAAAATAAAATAAAATAAAAAAGAGGGACTACTCAAGACAACTACACCCTGTCTGCCACCCAGCCCAGCCTTACTCTGAAGCTAACTCTTGATGCTTGTTCCACTGACAGTAATTTCCACAATTACCTAAGGTCCAACAAGAGACAGCCTTCAGGAGAGAGGCACTGCTGTAGATGGCGTGCATGTACATGAGGTGAACCATCAGCTCCGCCAACCACCAATAGCAGAGGAGGCGACCCAGCCCCACGGCAAAGGCGGAAAGGTTGGACTTCAGCGAGCAGTACTCTTGCTGCTGCACCTAAAGGAGAAACAAAAGAAGTCATTGGATTGTGCCTTGACTTTTTAAATCTTCCAAATAGTCCCCTAGACAGTATTTCTAGTCAACTTCTCACAAACATCATTGCCACTTATACCAACAGAGGGTCGGTGTAGTTATTCATTGTTCTTGGATGAAAAGGTCACATCCAAGCTTGGGTGGGATCTACGAGCTAGCCTAGCGCCAAGAACCAAGGTGGGTTCTGCATCCCTTCACCGCAGCAACAGCCTAGCAAAAACCCAGCGTGGAGGGCGGTACCTGAAGTACTCCCCCCTCAGGACTTTGGGGTCTCTTTAGGCTCAGGTGTCACACTGCCTGTCTTCATCCATCACCCACCCACCTGTAAGGCTGGTAAAGGTAGGGCCAAGTCAGGAAGGGGTACAGGACTGGTAAGAGAAAGGGAGGAGAAACAGAGCCTGAGAACAAGGGAAAATTTAGATGTGGGTGTGTTCTCTTAACTGAAGTTTGTTTTTGAAATAAAGCAGAATAAACACAAGGACAGTACACAGGACAAGTCTCTTAATCAGCACACAGTGCAATGTAAGTTAAGAACATGAACATCACAGTCAGAATTGGGATCAGATTCTAGCACAAACCACACAGCCGTGTAATCCTAAGCAGGTCACTTAATCTCTCTGAGGCTTGGTTCCCTTATACATAAAGTGAAAAAAAATGGTCATGACTAAATATGATGATATATATGAAGTACTCAGCACAGCACCCGCATATAAATAGCACAGGCTAATTGGTAGTTGGTATCTGGCAACCTGGGTACCTCCTACTGCGCCTTCTTCACATTCTTCCCTCATGGCATCCCAGGGGCATACCAGTTTCAGGGCAGAATTAGGACACAGGACAGGACCAAATGCCAAAGGTGAGAGAAGGACGTTTCTATTATTCACGGACAAGGACAGACTACTGAGAGTTCACTCAACATACGAACAACACAGAACCAATTTTATCACAGTAGCTGGGTTCTGGGTCTTGCCTCACTGCCTGCTGTCTAGGGATACACAATACTTTAGGGGCACCTGGGTGTCTACCTTGGCTCAGGTCATGGTCCCGGGGTCCTGGGATCGAGTCCCACATCAGGCTTTTCACAAGAAGCCTGCTTCTCCCTCTGCCTATGTCTCTGTCTCTGTCTCTCTGTCATGAATAAATAAAATCTTTTTTTAAAAAAAAAGTACTTTAAAACACATAGATGCTGAAATGCATAAGCACCTTATAAAATTTGTGTGAATTCAATTTCAGCCTTACATCACTAGGCAAACACACAAAAATGAGCAAGCATATAAGTGGTCTGGATCTTACTCTGACAAGATTTTATTAGACTGAAGCCTGCCTTGTAATGTAGAGGTGAAGCTAATGCATAAATGATGAAGTTGGATCAGCAAACATTCGCTGGCAGAAGAAATGGACTTGATTTAGCTTTTGACAATTTGGGCTCAAGACGCTACACGAACAGGAAAGGCTCATTCTTAGGGCCTCTTGGGCTCCCACGCTCCTTGAACCCCAAAGGTGCAGGGGGTCCCACTGCAGCCAGGAATGATAGGCGCTGCCCTCAGAGAGGAAGGGAAATCTGCACGCCAGGGGATTTACGTTTACTCCATTTTGACCGAACATTCTACTACTTTCTCAAACTGTCCTCTCACGGCAAGACACCAGCTTAAGAAATTCTGGCTGGTTCAGAGGCATCGCAGTCATCTGCACGAATGGCTTCCTCCCTTTTGCCATCTGCTTAGGTAGCTATACCAAGGAATGTGTATTGGTTTAATATTTTCAATGTAAATTGATCAAACTAACAGGAATTTCCTTCTTCCATTAGCTTTCCACAGTCGGCCTTGGGGAGGTATTTTGCCCAGCCATAGCAACCTGCCTTGTTAGAAGCAACCATAACTGCTGGGAGAGATCTGCCAAGTTTTCTGGGAAGGGTTTTCCCAGAAGGAAGACTGGGCTTATCAGGGCTTTGTGCAACCACAGCTGGACTACATGACCCAATGCACATCCCTTTCCAGGCATAAAGTGAGGGCGGCTTTCATCTGCATGCATACCTGAAGTGTGTGTGCTCTGCAAGACCAGACAACGACTACAGCAATGGATCTGTAGGCCAATGGATGGACAAAGCCTCAATGCAGAGATGACTACCTGCCCAATCATTCACATCTGCTACTGAATTGGGAAGAAAAGGAAATACCCCCAAATGTCCAACAGTGGGAGGTTGGTCAAATGCATGAGCGCACCTCAATATTATGTGGACATGAAAACTACTTTTTTCAACGTGCGTTAAATAATTAAAGACTAGAAAAACACACACCCAAATGGTAACAGTGATTGTACCCCTTTTGGTCAGATTTTTAGACTGCTTTTAACAGTTGTTTATTTTTATAATCAAAGGGAAAAATAATGGAACTTCACAATATTGTGAAGACTTTAGTCTTCTCCATCTATGAGGCAAGGTCCTCTATTTCTTCACCCTTCTAAAAAATATCTAGCTTCAGGACACCCCCCGCCCCCCTGGGCAGCCTAACATCTTCTACACGTAAGATGCTCATTCTCCTACACTGCACCCATCTTTACCTCTCCTCAACTTCCCACCTCACCTGTTGATTTTCTTATCAACAAGGAGCTGACTTCCTCTTTGTTCATTCTTCCCCAGTTCTCTAAAGCAAATTCATTTGGACCTCACTGCCATCAGCAAATGAGGAAACGATTATGAACATAGTGTCCATTGGTCTGCGGGGGCCAGAAGAGTTCACCCCAAGGCAGTCAGCTAAGCTGAGACTCAAAGAGGCAACTAAACCCTTCCAGACCACAGACGGCCCTTTCTTGGTGCCATACTCTTGGAGGGAAGCAAGCCCCTGGCTGAATGTGATAATGGCCTCAAAAGCAGTGTAGACAGAACACAATCTTCACACGACAAAATGTCCCCAGTTTCTAAATAAGCAACTATGCACATGGCCTGTGGGACCCTGAGCATAAGCCCATCCCAGGCTCAGGTCTCCTGAAGACCAAATCTGTACCTGAGGCCTCAGAGCATCACTGGGGCGTGCAGCCCCAAGCCAGGGAATAGAGGAGCAGCTGGATGGGAAGAGAGCGACATGAGGCAATCAGGAAAGCATGCCTACCCAATCACCTCTTAGCTCCAGGCAATTGCCATTCAGAGGCCTGCCTTAGCTTCCCCAAACAATGTGCAGTCTAAAATGACACAAATATCTATAATTAAGGAGAAACATAAGGTACATTTTGTGGTTGATTGGCTTCCCAATAATGGCTCACCTACTCTCCCCAGGGCAAAACCTCTCTACCCCGTTTAATAAGGTATAATTATGTGTCACCACTGGACCAGAAGGGCTGAACTTTCCGCTGCAATGCCTACCTTTTGATGTTGGAGGCCTCCTCATTCAGAGTAACAGAATTGTCTATTCCTTAATCATACAAATGAATACAGGAGAAGGAAAACAATCCAGTTTTTTACTCTATTTGCTTGTACTTAAAAAAGTTTTTTCATCTTTCATTAGCGTCATATGATTACAGTCCATTTATACCTTCAATCTAGTTGATTCCCTTTTATTTAAAAAATTCAGCATTTGTCCCCTTGTCAATCCAGCAGGAATAGAAGATATGCCATACACAGCTCACCTAATGAGCTCTCTTGTCTGCATGCAAGCATTTCATTTGAGATATCTCAAACCTCGGGGAGTGCCAACCTTAAGACCATTGGAAACTGCCATCAATGGGAATTTTTAGTTAAGACTCCACTAAAAAATACACATTAACTTATCTGCAAAGTGCATTTTAAAACACATTATATTTTAAAACCTCATTTCATGCAAATTGCATAAAAAGGAATATTGAAGCCTTTCAAAGATAGTCTGATGATTAAAGATGACAGTTCTAAAAGATGAAAGGTTCTTTTCCTTCACACACTAATAATACATATATTTAAGAGCACCAAACAAAAGCCGTCCCTGGAGCCAGCGTTTGACTCTGCCAACTCTGCTCCAACCTCTACGCCTGGGTCAAGAGCATTGTAGCCAGGAGTCTTATCCTTTGTGACAGATAAACTTCTCTCCAGTCCATGGTCTCAGATCATACCCGACTCCCAGCAGAGTGTTCCATAATCAGCCCTCACCTCCCTCTCCCCAGGCATCCAGACCAAGGCCGATGGTACTCAGTGGTCTCTGCCACAACAGCAAGCGCTGCCACTGCTCTAGCCAGCCTGAGCCTCCAGATCCAGATATCCACCAGGCCACACTGCAGCCTCTAACTCCTGTGGGATTAGGCTGGATTCCTTCCACCCCCAATCTGCATTCAATTAGCCTCTCTTTGCCTCTGTGTTACCATCTGTAAAGTGGTGGTAACAATCGTATCTCTCTTCTCCAGTGGCTGTGAGGATGAAGGAGTTAGCACATGCCACAGCTGGCTCGGAGCAAGCGCTCAGTTGGTGTTCTTTATTACAGTCTGTATTATTCCAGCTGGTCTCTAGAGCCAGAGCCCACCCCAAACGCTGAGTGACACATGTGGGACATTGTCTGCCTGCCCAGCTCTTACCAGCCCTGGCCATTTAAGTCTGGGCCCACCAAGGGGTAAGCTGTGAAACTGGCCCCTCTACAGGGAGGACGAGGAGGGAATGAAGAGGTAAAGCACTCCAGATTGGTAGGTGGCAGATGAAATAAACAGAGGAACTTAAACACAAGACTAGTCTCAGGTTGCTGCAAGATCTCCACACCCGCCTACCAAATCTTAAAAGTTTAGATGGAGGCCTTAACCCAGTTCAGTCACATATTCGAGTCCAAGGGTCTCAATGACACCTTACTCTTTCAAGGCTGTGTGTCCTTGGAATAGCTCCTAGTGGGGAATGGCAGGTGGGATGTACATTCTAAGGATGGGGCAAGGTGTGAGGAGCCTCTGATTGCCTGGGTTCAGCTTATGGGTCAACCAGCAGTCATATCCTCTCCATGACCTCCTCCAATACCCTCTCCCAAAATTGCCACATGCTTTTGGCTACCAACAACAATAATAGTAATCATTAACACTTCAGGGTGTTCACATGTCAAGCCATGTTACCTATACAAAATCCTTCAATCCTTGTAACAATCCTATGAGGGAGGTACTATTATTCTTCCTGTTTCACCAGTAAGGTAAGTAATTCACTAAATGCTCTCAAAAGCTAAAGCGAAGTAGGAATTCAAACCCTGTTAACAATAGGGCTGGGCTCCCAGGCCTTTGCTCGTAGCCACCAAGCAAGCTAACCATTTGAGCACTGGCCCTGTAAGGAAAAGCCCCCTGGTCCTACCACATTCAGACTCACCATCCTTCCCCACGCCAGCCTCAACCGCACAATTCAACCTGCTTGGGCTCCAAGCTAAGTGAAAGAACAAGCCTTGTGGGTAAGTGCCTCTGCTTATTAAACCTGTCCCCAGCTGCCCCGTCCTCTAGCATCACCCCTCCTCGCTCAGTATCTGAGCTCCACAGACCATGGGAGAGAAGTAAATGGGGCACATGTTCCTGAAACTCCAAATGCCATCTGAGACGGCCTCCAAGTTCAGGCACTATGGCCTTGTAACAGGCAAACGTTTACCTGCTCAGGATGGGTGTGCAAATTGCACATGGCTGACTTCACAGAGGACACCTCCTCTATGCTTCCCTCATCCTGTGTATGCGATGTACACATTAAAAAAAAAAAAAAGCTGCATGGGGTGAAAGATACATTCCCCCCCACGGTGTGCCTAATACTGTCTTTTATCAACCAGAGTTCCCCCTTCTGGTTGGTTTCCACGGTGGGGCTCTGCTGCCCCCTGGCGGCAGAGCCTCGTTCTCTGGCTCTCGTTGACCCCATCACCGAAGAACCAGGAATTTCACTACTGCCATTTCATGTTACCTTTATATTCATTCACTCACATCCTCCTTCAGAGCAAACGTTGCTTACAAGCTCTTCCAGTTGGCTTTCTTCCTCCCCCAGCAGCCTCTTCCTTCTTGGCCTCCCTGAAGGAACTCTTTCACTACTGGCTTAGCTTCCTAGCTAACTGCTTCCTTTTTAAGACCCACTTTTCTCAAAGGGGGTCAGTGCCCCCATTAGACCTTCTGTAATGTGGAAGCCTCGTGGCTGTTTTTACTTGCCCTGCAGCTTACTAAACATTTGCCTTCTCTAGACCAACTTTCCTATGACTCTTCCCAGACAAAGAAAGGTCTCGGTTTACCTTCCCAGTTCCCTGTTTTAGCACGTGCTTCCATTTTGAAAGGATTGAAAAAGAGAGGGAGTAAGACAGAGATGCAGCCAGTCTCCACGCCTGACTCCCTACAGGAAGAAACCTGTAGGGCCTGATTTACACTTGGACACCCCCAGCCCCCAGCTCTGCCGAGGAAATCAGGACAATGGTTCTCCACCTCTAGCAGGCTGCAGGATCACCTGGAAGGCCTAATAAATCACATTGCTGGACCCCACCCCTGGAGTGTCTGAATCAGATCTGAGGTGGGGCCCAAGAATTTGCATTTCTTTTAAGATTTATTTATTTATTCATGAGAGACACACAGAGAGAGAGGGAGAGGCAAAGACATAGGCAGAGGGAGAAGAAGCAGGCCCCATGCAGGGAGCCCGATATGGGACTGGATCCCAGGAATCCCAGGACAGCGGGATCATGCCCTGAGCTGAAAGCAGATGCTCAATCGCTGAGCCACCCAGGCATCCCAAGAATTCGCATTTCTAACAAGTTCCCAGATACTCCTGTTGCTGGTGGTACAAAGACCTCACTTTGAGAACCACTAAATTAGATCAGTTGCCATCACTAACCACCTGTCTTTTACACAATAATTTTAAATACAATTCTCAAACACAAACTTCAAATTACTTCATGGCAGAAGAATGACCCTATGTAACCCAAACTGAGGTATGAGAAACCATATGCTAAACATATATCTGCCTAGAATATCAATCTCACTTGAAGATCTATGGAGGAAAAAAAATTTAAATAAATTTTATTGGCAATTTTAACAAACTATAGAAATGATCCCTGAAAGTATAGTCTTATTGGCAATTTTAAAACTACATTATTGTTATAATGCAGAAATATACTTTTAAGTATAATGAATAATTCACAGGATCTTTAAGATAGAATACAGGATTTCTAAGAAACCTGCTACTTTTCCAGGGGGCGCCGTACACATTGCCCTTAGGAAATAATGCAACACAGCTGCTGGCCCTGAACTTTGAACTCATTTCCAGGCGTGTGTATGCATATGTGTGTATGTGCTTGTGTGTGCTGTGCACAGGCGTGTGTTGTGTTCTGTGTGTACATATGTTGTGTTGTGTGTGCATGTATGTGTGTGCATATGTGTCATCCCCATCTCCATCAAGATTGTTTTGTTCTGGTGGTAGGAGGTAGGACTACCTGTAGAGAAACACAGGTTTTAGGTATTATCGATTACTAAACCTTGACTGACCTCATAAACACGTTCCATGAGGCCAGCTGTGGAATGAGAACAAAAATTCGAAGTAGGAGGGAAAATGAGGTGGGAATGACAAAGGTAGCTTTACAGGAACTTCAGACAAGGCTGTAGGGAAGCTGGGTCCTGGGCAGAAACTCTTTTGGACCCCAAAACACATTATTACGTTCAAACTCCCTCCAACTCCACTCTGCTGTCTCATCTAGGTCACCCTGAACAATTCCCAGGTGATGACAGAGGTATTTCATAAGCAGTGATATCACAAAGTGATATTTGCCAACCAACAGCCTTAGACACTTTCCCTTTCTACTTTTCCAAGTAATACCATCAGAATCCAATTTTTTCTTTCCCTGGGACTTCTTGCTGAGCCCAGTTACTAATCCTAGTTGCCAGAGCCCATCGAGGAGTCAGGGTGTGGGGTTCCTCGAGCCAACATGTGCAAGAGACAAGTTGACCTTTACTTCAAATACTTATTTTCCCTTAAGTACTTCATTTATTACGTAGGAAGTCACAACAATAACATGTTTTAAATTTGAGGGCGCCCCTGAATGAAGAGCCTCGGGAGTCTCATGGATGGCCATGACCAGTAAGGATGGAGCCTTAATCCACAGAATACCAATCCAGTCCCCAATGGGCTCTACCTTTGCGATGAACTCCGGGAAGCTGAGGATAGGCCCGTTGTGGAAGACGGGGTAATAGAAGACATAGGCCACCAGCCAGGGAAAGGAGTAGAAGCTGTGCCCGTTCGGCATCTGCTGCCAGCAGAACTCAAGGCTGAAGCTGGTGTAGTACAGGCAACGCACGGTCAACGTGAACTGCAGTAAGTAGTACTCATTTTCTGTCTGGTACCACCCTCTCTGCAAAGTGACAAGAAGAGAACACTCTTGGGTGTCAAGGAAGGACGCCACCCAGTCCCCTGGGAAGGACTCCACTTCCATGGTAGAGCAGCTACCGTAAAGGGAGTTGAGAACCATGGGGCAGCAGGTAAATCTCACCGGTAATAGAAACAAGCAGTGGGCAGAAGAGTGGCTCTACCACCACCCATCAACTTCACATTGGGCCTGATGTGCTGTATTGAAAAGTTTTCCAAGATACGCATCTATCAGATTCATCCCGACGTGGAGATTAACTACAGCCAGCGGCTACTCTGACAGTTCCCCCAACAATCCAGAAAGCAAAGAGAGGCTTGTAAATGTCACATGGGATTCCTGCTTTCAAACGTATTTCTCCTTTTGCTTTTCTGTTATTAATTTGGCTCCACATGTTGTGGAGGAGGATTTGCCAAATAAGCTTTAGAAACAGTCAAGGAAAATAGTCCCTGCCCTCGATGTGTCTAAATCCTCGTACAGGAGATAGTATGTGAGTGTATGATTACAATGCAAGCTGAAATAAGAAAGAACAAGCATATATGAAAATATGTATGTGGTAAAACCTCAACAGTGCTAGGAGACGTAAAATTATGGATCATTTTATTCTTCAATATTTTCCATAACCCGTATGTACTGCTTTTTTTTTTAAGATTTTATTATTTATTTATTCATGAGAGACACAAAGAGAGGCAGAGACAGAGGGAGAAGCAGGCTCCACGCAGGGAGCCCGACGTGGGACTTGATCCCAGGTCTCCAGGATCAGGCCCTGGGCCGAAGGCGGCACCAAACCGCCGAGCCACCCGGGCTGCCCCTGCTTTTTTAATGAGAAGAACAATTAATGGGAATAAAAGATAGAAAAACTGGGACAAAGGAAGGAACAGTGAACGTGATCTGTGGGGGTGCTTTAACAGCTTTCCACAGAAAAACTAAAAGTGAAGAGTTTCTGTTCCATGCCCAGGACTTCAACAGCCACCAAGAAAGACCGAGAGAACTACTCATGCAAAAGCATGAAAACCCAAAGCAACTAGTTTCTGGTCATTTGTTCCCCTTGGGCAGTATTTTTCAAATCTCTAGTCTGCATAATAAATGGAATGTTTATTCCCTACCAACATCCATAACTGATGCTAACTATTCCCAAACAAATGATAATTACAATTGGAGTCTGTTTTTTACATTTGCCAGGTCCCCAAAAAGTTAGGTATGAATTCCTATTTAATTTTTAGTGCACATCTATTTTTAAGCACATGTACTTAGATGATCACCTAGTTCATCACTGTGGGAAGTGTCTTTTGTCAAGATGAAGCTATTACCCTACTTTCTCTCTTAAGTCCAGATTTGGACATATGTGCTTCAAGTGTTAGCCCCAGTCTGTCGGTGAGAGTGAAGAAAAATTAAGAATAGTGTAACAGAAAAAAATAATTGAATTTTCAAAAGGCTACAATTTTTACAAAATCACTTAACAGATATCATCTTATTAGAGCCTCAGAACGACTCCATGAGGAAGACAGAGCACCTATTGATTTCATTTTCAAAATGATGAAATTGAGATTCAAGTTGAATGACTGCCTCCAGTTTCAAAAGTAGGAAAGACAGTTACCAGAAGAGCCAAGGAATCAGCTCACCCTCTGGTTCATCTTTCCCATCATGTTCTTTGCCCCAACCTTGCTGATCCAGGGCGCACCGAGTGCTGTCACTTGTATCAGTGAATGAGGGAATGAACAAGTGCATAAAAATAAAGACACCCCAGAAGTTTCAGTTCCATGATGACTAAAGAAAGAATATCAAAACTTCCTAAGATTTTCTGGGCAAGGAAAACACCTGCCTTATCTGTCTCAAGGGCTATCATGTGCCTCGGATGAGATAAGGAATGTGAGTTTTTCCTGTAACTTGTAGAGCACTCTACAGATGATTTTTAATTAAATGCACAGGAGACCATTGCTTTCTTTTCCCATTGTTCCTTACCCACTGCTGCTGCGACATCTGGCACCATCCATGCCTACCAAACCGGGAAAAGAGGTGCAGGGTCAACCCTGGGCAACCAGAGGGCTAAGGCATACATAGTCAGATACAAAAGACAAGAGTGCAGAACGCAACACACCAGGATCCACATGCATCAACCCCACTTGGCCACTGGAGGGACCCCCACCACGGTTCTTCAACTGACTCTTGGCTGAAAATGAAGGCGTCTGCCCATTGGAAGCTGCAAGGTAAAAGGGCTACACTTACCTTAACTTCCTCCACATCTTGCAGCCTCAGTGTGGAGAGCAGGAAGAGAGAACAGAGCCATGTGAGGGCCAGTGACCGGAGCTGGGCTACACAGAAGGAGATGAGGGTGTGGAGAAAAATAATGGCCGTGCCGTGGGCCCCCAGCACACACCAGGAGGCCCACATTCCATAAGCCCCCAGGATCCAGGGTCTGTGCTGCAGACAGGGAGGAATCCAGGGAGAGAGAAAAAGAGGGAGAGGGCAGGGAAGAAAAGAGAAAGGAGTGAGCTACTGGGTATTGCTATTAAACATTCTATAGAGAAGAGCATAATGCTTAGCGATCCATTAACCAGACTATTCTCACCGCCCTGGGGATTTAGTGCAACACAGATTCAGAAGGACCTTCCACACGATCCCCAGAATGTTGGCTGCCTACCCCAGAACTCCCCCAGATCCCCCCAGAAGCAAGGAGCCACTCTCCAGCCTTCTGCCAAAGCCACCCACCACTGGATCCCCTCCAACAAGGTATTTAGCTGACTTCTCAACAGACTCTATGGAAGCCAAAAAACAGCTGGACAAACTACCAATCTGAAATACTAGCCCCTACATACACTATCCTGCAGAAGTGAAGGTGAAAGTATTAGTGTCTCTTCGAGACAAGCGGGACATTCAAAACACAAACAGCTTTCAAAGTCTAAACCAGAGATTTAAATGAAAATATCACTCTACATTTTTACTAGCATATCGTTTACGATCAAATTTATGTCGCAGAAAAAGTATCTTATGTGCTTTATAGAGTATTGAGGCCTTTGCATAGTCAATCTGATTGGCATGTTCATCCCCATTTTAGAAGAATCAGAATATTTTTCTATCCAATTAAGTTTTATAGCTATTTGACATTGAATAACTAAACATGTCTTTGCTTTTATTATCTATACTTGGTCGTATCTGGCTGGTAAATCCTTACTTAAAAACCACAATAATGTTTTGACATTATTTGAGAGGCAACATATTATGGTGGTTTTAGAGTCCAACTGCCTAAAATAAATCCTGTTGTCCCCATTAACTAGCCATGTGACTCCAGGCAAGGTACTTAATCTCTCCCTACCTCAGTTTTCTCATATGTAAAATTAGGATAATGGTATCTATTTCATGAGCTTGCTGTGAGGATTGTTAATGCAGGTGAAATGTTTACAACGGTCTCTGCGTACATACTAAGGACAATACAAATACTAGTTATTATTCCTATAGGGAATACGATGGGTCCTTTTTGGTGTGTACTTTAAAATATGGTTTCCAGAAATACACTGAGTTTAAAGTGGGGGATACTTGAATTTAGGTCTTGTGAAAACAATTCTTTTTTTTTTTTTAAGTTTTCAGTAGCTTTTCTTTTGTATATTTTTTATTGGAATTCGATTTGCCAACATATAGTATAACACCCACTGCTCCTCCCATCAAGTGCCCCCCTCAGTACCTGTCACCCAGTCACCCCATCCCCCCCACCCACCTCCCCTTCCACTACCCCTTGTTCGTTTCCCAGAGTTAGAAGTTTCTCATGTTTTGTCTCCCTCTCTGATTTTTCCCACTCATTTTTTCTCCTTTCCCCTTTATTCCCTTTCACTATTTTTTATATTCCCCATATGAGTGAATCCATATAATGTTTGTCCTTCTCCGATTGACTTACTTCACTCAGCATACTACTCTCCAGTTCCATCCATGTCGAAGCAAATGGTGGGTATTCATTGTGAAAACAAGAATTCTTTAAGGCAAAGACCGATGTGGACCATAGACCATAAATCCTAGCTTTAGATGCTAACTCTTCCAAAATATTGTCTAAGTACAATTCTTTCCCAAACCTACACTCCAAGAGAGAACATTTTAACTGAGCAACTAGGTCAGGCACTTTTAAGTCCCTAGAAGAATCAGAGAAATCTGCAATTCAGTTTTACTGTTTTTCCATCCTATTGCCCGCAGAAAACAGTCACATAAATTTGCTTCAAATTTTCCCCCAAACACTCACCTCTGGGTCGAGTCCAATGATAAGAAACAAGGTTGCCAAAGACCATTTTAAGAACTGGTTTTAACAAAGAAAAATAAAGGTTTTCCAACATGATCTACAGCTTTTACCACCAAGAATCCTTTTCCAGGCACACATGGCTACATACATAGACACAACTACATTTTTATTAAGTGTTATTTGATCCATGTGGAAGAAGGCTGTTTGTTCGGCTTCCACTTGGGAATTTAACCACAGACTAAGGGGCTCTGATTTGGAAAAAGCCGAACCAGATTCTCTGACGAATGAATTTAACCAAACTCACCAAAGCTACCGTCCAGGCACACAACTCTGCCCCCAATTTTCATCCCCTACGGTCTTCCTCCTGCCAAACAAGACAGGCAGGCGACATGCAGTGCTGTTCCGAGACAGCACAGAAAAGGCTCTCAAGATACCTTCATGTTCTCCACTATCTCTCGTATCACCTACTCATTCTCCCCGGTGGGGAGAGGCAGCTCTACCATACATGTCCACAGCAGACAGGTGATGTAAAGGAAAAGGTGCAAAATATGCAAAAAATAATCACTGGTTTAGAAATAAAAAAGAGCTATTATATAAATTAGAACTCCACTAAACTCCTGACAGCATGGTCAGCCATCCACGCCTTACTCTCTAACTGGCATCAGAGGATAGTCCCCACTATCGATACAGCCCTTAGGACACCCCTCCTCCAAGCACTGTCCATCCGCACACCTGTCTGGACCTGACAGAATCAGTATGGTGAGGGACTGTAAACGGAAGAGCAACACTACCCACCAGGAGCAGTGTCGTGGATGGTCTGCTCCTCCGAGGAGGAGGAGGAAGAGGAAGAGGAGGGCTCTACCCAAGTGTTGCAAAGATCATTTTCATATGTAAAGGCCTCATGCAACCCTGTTCCATCTACTTCTACTGCAAAAGTGTTTATATATTTTTCAAACTTTTGTCTACCTAAGTGAAAATGCTTAAGAATCAGATATTAAGCCTCTCACATCAAATATATCAGGAACTATTTAACTTTTCAAAAATAAAAAAAAGAAATGTGTTATGGGGCACCTGGGCAGCTCAGTCGGTTGAGCGTCTGACTCTTGGTTTCAGCTCGGGTCGTGATCTCACAGTTGTATGATCAAGCCCCGGGTCAGGCTCTGTGCTTGCCATGAAATCTGCTTCAGATTCTCTCTCCCTCTCCTTCCACTCCCACACACACTCTCCCTCTCAGTCAGTAAAATATTTTTAAAAGTAAAATGTGTTAGATCTTATTCTAAAGCAATACTTCTGATTGCTCGCTAAAAGGACTAAGACTTTATCTCCAAGTTCTCAGGGCAATCTGGACAGATACACAGTTTTTTTTTTTTAAAAAAGATTTATTTAAACTGTTTATTTATGATAGAGAGAGAGAGGCAGAGACACAGGAGGAGGGAGAAGCAGGCTCCATGCCAGGAGCCCGACGTGGGACTCGATCCCGGGACTCCAGGATCGCGCCCTGGGCCAAAGGCAGGCGCCAAACCGCTGAGCCACCCGGGGATCCCCAGATACACAGTTTTGATCACACACATGATCCAGGTGAAGCTCCAGTTTTAAAGATTCATTTAAATGAAGTGATGTTCCTGACTGGGAACTATTAGTCCCTTGAAAAGAAGGCATAGAGAATTCTGTTGATCAAGTGTACAAATAAAACATGAGCTTAATTTAGTGATGGGCTGTGATGTTTCCTCTAATCTAAACATTTGAATTCTAATTTTATAAATGTTTTTGAGATTTTTGAGATAGTTGTAGACTCAGGGAAATTATAAGAAATAATATATAGAGCAATCCCATGCACACTTTACCCAGTTTTTTCCCAATGGTAACAGTTCACAAAACTGTAATACACCACAACCAGGATACTGGCATTGCTACAATCTACCAAATTTATCCAGGTTTTCCCAGTTTTGCTTATATTTGTGTGTGTGTGTTTAGTTTTCTACAACTTTATCACATGTAGAGGTTCAGTATCCACCACAGTAAAGACAGCCAACAGCTCCATCACCATAAGGATCTTGCCTTTTCTAACTACCTCCTTCCCACCCCCTTTATCCCACATCCTTAACTCCTGGACACCACTGATATTTTACCCATTTCTAAAATTTTATTTTGAAAATTGTATGTAAGCTTTGGAATTGGCTCCTTTCACTCAGCATAATTCCCTGGAGATTCATCCAACTTGCTGAGGATATTGAAAGTTGTTCCTTTTCACTGCTACATAGTATTCCATGACCTGGACTTACCACTGTTTAGCATTCAGCTGTTGAAGGGCATCTGAGTTTCCAGTTTTTTGTTATTATGAACAAAACTGATAGGAACATATGTGTACGGTTTTTGTGTAAAAAATAAGTTTTTATTTCTCCAGGATAAATGTGCAAGGGTATATTTGCTGGATAAGCATGGGAGTTGCACATTTAGTTCTTGAAGAATCTGCCAAATAGCATTCCCACCAGCAAGGTATGAGTGATCCAGTTTATCCCCATCCTTGACAGCATTTGGCATTTGGTGCTATCACTGTTTCATCTGAGGCAACCTGGTCAGTGTGGGGTAATATCTCTTGGTGGCTTTAATTTGCATTCACAAAGCCCTTTTAAACGGTACGATTGTCAGGGCTGACCTGGTGGTTCAGTCTGTTAAACATCTGACTCTTGGTTTTGGCTCAGGTCATGATCTCAGGGTTGTAAGATCAAGCCCCCGTGGTGGGCTCTAGGTAGTGCAGTCTGCTTCTTACTCTCTCCCTCCTTCTGCCCCTCCCCACACTCCTATGTGCTAAGATAAATAAATAAATCTTTTAAAGAATAATAAAAATAAGGATATCAAAGTGTGAGCAACCCAAAGCTTGAGAACAAGACAGGCCAGATGAACTTAGCTAAGGCACAGGACTGTCCTGACCCCCTTCACTCGCCTCATTCCAGGCTCTTCAGTTTCTAGTAGAAGATGAAAAGGCAGATGAGGGAAGAGAAGAAATTTTTAGAAGTCTAACAAACAAGGACACCTGGGTGGCTCAGCAGTTGAGCATCTGACTTTGGCTCAGGGCATGATCCTGTGGTCCCGGGATCAAGTCCCACATCGGGCTCTCTGCATGGAGCCTGCTTCTCCCTCTGCCTACAATCTCTGCCTCTGTGTGTGTGTGTATGTCTCTCATGAGTAAATAAGTAAA